TTATATTATTGTATCTTGTGTGCCCAACAAAACACTTCATATTATTGCTTTGTGCAGTTTCTTTAAACCTGTGTATTTCTTGTTGTTGCTTGTGGAGAAGAGTTAACATGGTAGGCCTCACTGCATATACTTAGAAAGAACTGCTTAAAAGATCCACCCTTGGCTAGCATCTGAGAACTTACCAGGGTCCATACCTGCCTAACTGATAAGAATGCTCGCTGTGCCTACACTGCTTATACAAACAGTATAGTTTGTGCTGAATAGCTGCTTTTCTTCTGGGAGTTAGGAATTTTGGTGTATGCTAGGCAGAGGGTATGTATTGATCAGTCCCTAATAAAAACCCTCAGTGCAGAGTTTCCAGTTTTTCCTGGTGTTGTCATAACTGATTTCTGGGGTTGGGGGGAATTAAAGGTCTCATATGACTTTATTAAAAAAAGATCCTTAGGAGCTAGCCCTCACCTTCCCTGGTCTTTGCCCTGTTTGCCCTTTCCTTTAGCTTATTTTGCTTTGTGCCCTTTTGCTATAGTAAATTATAGCTGTCAGTACTACTGTGTCACTGAGTCTGTTGAGTTCTCTAGCAAGCCCTTGAAACTGGGTGTTCCATTACATACTGCTATAATAGATTACCACAAATTTGGTGGCTTAAAACAACATAAATTTATCATCTTACAGTTTGGGAAGTCAGAAGTCTAAAATGAGTCTAACTGGGCCAAAATCAAGGTGTCAGCATTGCTATGGTTCTTCTGGAGGCTGTAGAGAAAAATGCATTTTTCTTGCCTTTCCCACATCCTAGCAGCTGCCTGTATTCATTGGCTCATGGCTGTCCCATTCCATCTTTAAAGCCAACAATGAGTGGTCAAGCTATTCTTTTGCAGTACCACTCTGACACTTTCCTGCTGATTGTTTATTTATAAGGATCCCTGTGATTATGTTAGGTCCAGCCAAATAACCCAGGATAATCCTCTTATCTTAAATTTGTTAATTTATCATATCTGCAGAGTTCCTTTTGCCAAGTATATATATATATTTTTTAACGATTAAATGTGTTTATCTTTTTTTCTCCTCAGGCAGTAAAGAATGCTGATGGAAGAACCATTTTCCTAATTTTCAAATTGTTGAGCTGGTTGCCATGATGGGTGAGTTCAGACTAAAGGCAATTTTCGGGGCGCCTGGGTGGCGCAGTCGGTTAAGCGTCCGACTTCAGCCAGGTCACGATCTCGCGGTCTGTGAGTTCAAGCCCCGCGTCAGGCTCTGGGCTGATGGCTCAGAGCCTGGAGCCTGTTTCCGATTCTGTGTCTCCCTCTCTCTCTGCCCCTCCCCCGTTCATGCTCTGTCTCTCTCTGTCCCAAAAATAAATAAACGTTGAAAAAAAAAATAATAAAGGCAATTTTCATCTATAATTAAAGGATAAAATGGGGAAGAAAAATTTTTCTCTGTGTATATGACCAAACATTTTTATAAAGAAGTTTTATGATGTAATAGACTTCTGTAATGTTTTGTATTTAATAGATTTTAGATTAAAGCACTTTTTCAGTTAACTTACATGTTTGGAATGACCATTTCATGCAGGATATCCTAGTAGGGACATTCAAAATAAACTACTAAAATGGATTGAGATTTACTTAGAGTCTAATGGCCAGAGAGAATACTAGATAAGGAAACCTGACTTGTAAAGATTGAATAAATGCTGAAGAATGAATTGTTGTAACTACCCAACTATGTAATGTGGTATCATAATGTTAATGGCAAGGGAGGCTTTCCTAAAGTATGGGAGTGGGTTATAGGTTATTTACTTTTTTTTTCCCCTTTTCTCCTTGTTGAAGTTTCCAACGTGAGGCAAGGATTGGACAGGGAAACACTAGAAATAAATGGACCAAATGGCACCCACCCCATCCTAAATGGGGAAAAAATGGACTGAGTAGTTGGAAGCTAAGTTTTTAAATCTAGACTGATCCCATTTTCTTAATTCTGACATATACTTGTTCATGTTTATCTTTGTCACATTTTTCTTATCACTTGTTTAACAAACGTTATTATTCACTCTTACATGCATGTATGTGACAGTATAGGCTAAAGAGCTTAAATTTGTCAATGTTCTTTAGTGGAGGGTCTGTATGTTTTCAGTGTGTCTCCTTGTGGCAAGTGTGTAAGCCGAAGCTTCACCTTCCTGCTTTTTAAATTTCTCTTCATTTCTCTTTTTGTAACCATGTGTGTAGTGCCATCATGTGGCCCAAATTCTCCGCCCAGCTTCACCTCCAGTTCCAAATTGGATATCTTTTACTGAACTCCTATCATCTTTTCATTTTGGTTGTTCTCACTTGCAGTCTGAGCTGTGTATTAATCAAATCCAGTTGTACCATCCTTCTCAAATAACACTTCACTATAGTAAGCAACAACACAAGGAATAGTCATTGCTTAAAAACTTATACAAAGGTATTCACAGAAAACTGAATATTTAAAAGTATGAATCATAGGTATTTGAATTTTAGATTGAGGATGTTCTCCTGTAGTTATTTTACAAGCATAATGAATAAGCATAGAAGGAATTTAAACCTTTCTGATAAAAGATTTTATTGAAATTATTTCCCAAATAATTTGTTTTTGTGTTCAGGTAAATGTCTTTTCAGCATGTCAGAAACCCACTGCTTCATCTGTGTGCCTTTGGTCAGACTCTGGCCTCCTCCTGTAGGCATCCTCATTGCCTGTTTGATCAACTCATGATCTTTAAGAAATTTATAACCTGTCATATCTGCCTAGTACCAATGACCACCACAGAGATTATTGATAGAGTAAAGCAGCCTAAGAATTGTTACAAGAGTGCTTATAGTGGATGTTCACCACTTTGCATGATCTTTTGTGAATTTGTTAGTTTGCATCTTGTCAGCGTCCTCAAAGTAAGTTTCTTATTGGGTACTTAGGTATATCATGTGATTCTTCTTCAAGCAGGAAAAAGAAGGAACTCAGTTAAATTGCCCTTTATATGCATGTCATCTCACTGAGAAGTTACTTTTATTCAAATGGTCCTCCTTACTTTTTTACATCTACGATAGGAAGCCGTACTTGGTTTTTTTTTACTTTTATTTATTAAAAAAATTTTTTTTCTTAACGTTTATTCATTTTTTGGGAGACAGAGACAGTGCGAACGGAAGAGGGGGAGAGAGAGACACACATAATCCGAAGCAGGCCCCAAGCTCTGAGCTGTCAGCACAGAGCCCGATGTGGGGCTCAAACTCACAAACTGTGAGATCATGACCTGAGTGAGCTGAAGTCAGATGTTTAACCAGCTGAGCCACTCAGGCACCCCCATACTCATTTTTTTTAAACAAGGAAATTAGTATATATAAATATGATAAGAGATTTAAGCCAGGCATCTGTTCATTTTGGTATTGTGATATTAAACATGGGAAAATATCTAAATTCAAGTGTTTAAGTTTTCTCTAATGAAGAAAATAATTAGAACATATATATGTACTTTTAAGTTTTCGAGTTCTTCTCTCTCGAATACTTAAAAGTATTACTTAAATACTTAAAAATCCAGTTAGGATTAAAGAGCTTACCTTTCTCGAGAAGGTTACATGAGAATATTTTATTCCAGTTGAGATCATTCTCAGCTTATTTTTTTCCTAAGGGCAGATTTATTTTTATCAATAAATGACATGTTCTGGCTTGGACCTGTGGACAGAACACACTTTGTGATTACATTATACCTGGCTGGCTCAGTTGCTGTTTGGCTAAGGTGACGTGATGAAATTATATTTTACAAAGAATATTTTGTGAAGGATTATAAAATGTTCTCTAAACCCGGAATTTACTGATAAAACCTTTGGCAGCATTAATTTTAATTTTAATTTTAATTTTAATTTTAATTTTAATTTAATATGCAAGCAGTCTCATAGAGCAGAATATATTGAGTATTATAAAAAATTAATACATTAGGAAAGTCAGCTATTTTGTGTGTTTGAAAGGCTGATGAAGCCATTGAATTGCCACATTCTTTTTAATGATTTCTCTTTACAGGGTAAAGCATGTTTTAATTATTACTACTTTGAAACATAAATTATTGCTCACCAAAATGGTTATATCTTAAAATGTAATCTGTAAAAGTCCTTCAATTCCTTTATTGATTATTTGCTGATTATCATTAGTAGAATTGGTTTAATTCTAGTGATTTACTAGTGAAAATCAATTAAATTATCTCCAAACTTTCCCAGAGAGCATATAATTGGTATTACTAGGAGACTCAGACTTACAGTCTTAGAAAGAAATTTTTGATTTATTTGGAAGAAATTAAAAGTTCATGATCCTTTCACTCAGTTTTATGGATTCACCCCCTTTTTTTTTAAAGGGATGCATTTTTCTTACATTGTTACATTTTAAGTCATTACTGGCTGAGATCCTTAAGCAGCCTATTAAATATAGTCTTGTTGAACTTTATGGTGAGGAAGTACTTACAAATATCAGTAGGTCATTTATTATTCACAGATAAAGCCTTTTGTTTCTGACTTGAAATACTGATGAAAATCTCTAAAAGGAATTCTGTACTTTGAACATAAATGCCAAATAATGATGAAAGTCATTTATTTTTTCCCTACTAGCTTTAATTAAAATTTTAGCTATTCTATTGATGTTTTATTTAGGAATCACAGAAAGTAATTTGTCATGATGGGGCTGTTTTCACCCATACACTAGGATGTTACATTATTAGAAGAATCAGAATGAGTTTATCTTGCCTATAAATGTCTCATGTGTAAACATCTAGTATGATGCTAGTGCTTGAGTCTAGTGCAGTTTTAATGTTACTTGTATTCAGTTTTTAAATAATGGAAATTTTATTTCACCAAAATAATAGAAGTATAGGCATTGAAAATGTTCTAGATGCATTTTTGCGTTAAATTAACGCATTTTGCATTAAATTTCATGATCAAATTTGTGTTTGATGTCTATGATAAATACATATTGAAATTATGATTCTTTGCATCTATTATTTTAAAAATACCTAGATGATCAGCAAGCTTTGAACTCAATCATGCAAGATTTGGCTGTTCTTCATAAAGCCAGTAGACCGGCATTATCTTTACAGGAAACCAGAAAAACAAAATCGTCATCACCAAAAAAGCAGGTATTCTAATAAACACATATTTTTATTGTATGAATTATTTGCCTTGAATATCCTAATCTTATAGAGGGTTTGTTTAAAGTGTTTGTCTTTTACATTTTTGAATCAAATATTTTTTGTCATACATTTTTCCTAATGGGTGTGCATTTTTAAAAATGGTAGTTTTCATTGAATGTAGTAACTGCCCTCTAATACTGATATTTCATCCATTCTTAAAGCACTTAAGATAAACAAATTGTTTTTATTTAAAGTAGTCTGTTCTGTTTACAAATGAGCATCATTTTGATTTTTGTAACTCAAATTTGTTTGAGATGTCCAACATGAAAAGTGGGAATCCAATGCTCTGTATTTCCCTCTCATAGGTTTAGCAAGGGTCTCATAGGCATGATCACTAAGAGATTTTGGTGCTCTTTGCTTTCAGCCCAGAGTCAGCAACACAGTTCTCAACTCAGCTCTTTGACAGACATTATGAATTCATTGGAGTTCACACTGAAAATGAAACCTCCTTTCCCCCTGCTTTTTTTTTTAATGAGTGACTAAGGGGGAAAAAAAATGAGTGACTAAGAAAAAATATCTAGAAATTGTAGAAATTTTATCTGATCTCTGAAATGATTTATCATTTCATTACAGAATGATGTGCGAGTCAAATTTGAACACAGAGGGGAGAAAAGGTAAGCAAAGAAACACTACATGCCAGTTTATTGATTTAATCAAATAAGTCATAAAAACCATTAAAAGTTTTTTCTGGACTTTAGTGAAAGTTGATGGCTTACAAATTGAGAATGGAATAGTCCTTTGGTAATGTGTAACATGTACTTAGACTTAAAATAGAGTCTGTCAAAATTTAGGCTAAAGTTTAGTAACAATTATTAATGTTTTTATTTTAGGAAATAAAAAATCTTGGATAATACAGCCTTTAAATATTACTATTTCCTTTTATTTTTACTCAGTGGAAATCAAATATATTTCTCCTTATCATAATTGTATTGTTCCTTCAGATAGTATATAAAGCTTATGTACATGGATTTAACATTCATAATTTTGATTATTCTCAAGAGACCTCAGTCATATGACATATATTTGATTAGTAACATTGAAGAAGATGATTGAAATGGTGGCTGTAAATTAATTAGCAGAGGGATAAGCCTAGCCTTCCATTGGGTATCTGTATCTTAGTGCAGTGGTAGAGGTGGTGGTGGTGGTGGTGGTTGACAACAAAATTGTTAACAAGGCCTAATAGGAGATAGAGAAGATGGGATTTCACTTCTGTTATTGGTGTCTCATTAAATCCAGTTAGTGGAAGAGCATCCATTTTAAGGGCTTTAAACAGGCTCATGAGTCATATAACCTGAAGATGTAAAAATGTTTTATACAGAGATGTCAACAAAATTGGATGTACCACAAATACCATCCACTTGTCCAATGTGCTTTTTTCCTATTGTTCTTTTATGGATATTTTCTCAATTCTTTCCATTCATTGAGCATTATTTATTAAGTACTATAAGTATTGGACCATAAAGGAATAAAGTGAGCAGAACAAACATGGTCCGTCCCCCATACTACAGTCTAATATAGTAATTTCCAAGCTTAGGTGCTTGCTCCCAGGGTCAGCATAGGCTAATCTTTTGAGACACAGGAAGAAAATACTAGAATTAAAAAGTTTTAATTTTATAAAAATACTTATTTTGGGGATATGCTTACATGATATATAGGTCCTCAGAAATGTTGAGTTGATAAAGGTACAGAAATCAAAATTTGAATCTCCAAAGAACAAACAACTTTATTCTTTTAATAGTTTTGTTGCATTCCATTATACAGAGGTCACATAGTTAGGTTTAATTTTAATCACTTTTTTCAGTGAACATTTTACAGCTGCTCTTTAATAATCTTAAAATTCTGTCCACATAGAATCCTTCAGTTCCCCAGACCAGTTAAACTGGAAGATTTGAGATCTAAGGCTAAAACTGCCTTTGGACAGTCTATGGATCTCCATTATACCAATAATGAGGTAAACATGTACAATGTAACTTTCAATAGCTCTTATTTTGGAAAGTAGTATGTTCATTTAAGAGATTGTTTTAGGAATATTTATTTAGAAATTGATAAGGATATGGTATGCTAGAGAAACAAAACACGTAAATTTGTAAATTTTAACTAACTGAACTGTGTGTTTTCCATTGTGGAGAGATTTAAAGACACTACTGTGCAAGTAATTGAATGAGAACATATTGAGGGAGGAAACATACGTATTACTTAGAAGTTTGCTGCTTATTTATGTTTTATTTTCACTCTGTGTACTTTTTTTTTTTTTATTATCCTCAAGTTAACATACAGTATAGTGTTGGCTTCAGGAGTAGTAGAATTCAGTGATTCATCTCTTACATATGACACCCAGTGCTTAATCCTGAAGAGTGCCTTCCTTAATGCCCCCATCACCCATTTAACCCACTCCTCCCAACGCTCAGTTTGTTCTCTGTATTTAAGTCTCTTATGGTTTGTGTCCCTCTCCTATTTTTATCTTCTTTTTCCTTCTCTTCCCCTATGTTCATTGTTAAATTTTCTCAAATTCCACAATGAGTGGAATAGCTATAAACACTGAGGTGCATGTGCCCCCTCAAGTCAACATTTTTGTATCTTTTAGATAAATTCCTAGTAGTGCAATTGCTGGGTTGTAGGGTAGTTCTGTTTTTAATGTTTTGAGGAACCTCCACACTTTTCCAGAGTGGCTGTAACAATTTGCATTCCCACTAACAGTGCAATAGGGTTCCCCTTTCTCCACATCCTCGCCAACATTTGTTGTTTCCTGAGTTGTTAATTTTAGCCATTCTGACAGGTTTGAGGTGGCATCTCATTGTGGTTTGGGTTTGCATTTTCCTGATGATGAGCGATGTTGAGTATCTTTTCATGTGTCTGTTTGCCATCTGGATGTCTTCTTTGGAAATTGTGTACACTCTACTTTTTGATGAACTGTCTTTTTTTCTCATACTCTACATTTGGGTGTATAGACAATAGAGCTTTGGTAGTCAGACAGTTTAGCTAAAACTTTAAAGGATTATTTTCAAGTTGCTTAGGATATGATTAGATCATTATGTTTGTGTGTCAGTACATGTGATTTTAAGGGCTTCATCTGGCACTGAGGAGCTCTGTGTTCTGGACCACCCCCCTTTTTTTAATGTTTATTTATTTTTGAGAGAGAGAGACAGAGAGAATACAAGCAGGGGAGGGCAGAAAGAGAGGGAGACAAAGAAAGTGAAGCAGGCTCCATCCAGGCTCTGAGCTGTCAGCA